CCGTGTGGCCACCGGCCCGTCGCGGACGTGTCGGTTGCCTCGCCCGCCGCCCCCGCTTCCCGCCCCCCTCGGGGCGCCGCCACCCGCGCTCCCTCACGGGAGGCGCGCTGGCGCATTTGACTTCGCAAAGCGAGCGGGCCGCGGGGGCGCGAGGCAGGAGGGCGGTTCCGCCGGAGGACAAGCCCAGAGGGGCCGGGGCGAATCTGCGAAGGCGAAGGCGGCGGATTTTGATTATTTTTTGTTCTCGGCCGCGTCAATCCGCTGTGGTCGGCACTCCCTTATGTGCAGTGCATGTTTGGTGGAGGAGGCTGTTATTCCCCCGCTGGATGTTGAGATCCGATCTAAACGGCGCAGTGCCAATTCTCGTTCCCCCCTCCAGGTAGCTCCCCAGCGGGCCACTGCCCCCGATCGGGGCAAGCTCTAAACTACCGTAAGTGGGTCCAAGTAAGGGAGAGAAAGGAAAGATCACGCGCAGTCAGGGGCCCTATTGTTAGAATGCAGCTTCGGCGTTAGCCTCATATTGATATCAGAAGACATGAAAAACTACCGATCAGAGCGGCCCACTGCTAGAATTCTCCTGCAGACTGCGGCTGGATTCGACCTAGGTATCTCTGGGTATCTATTGATGGGTACCTAGGTCCTCCCGATTACAGGCACTGACTCGACATCAGTTCATCCCCTCAGAACGTGGAAAGCAGCGTGGGCGAGGGGTCGGCGGTGAAGGCGGTGAGGCGCGTGGCTCGTCGCAGGCGAAGGGGAGGGCGCAGCTCGAGCAACGAGCGGCAGCCGTCCAAGACAGAGGAAGCGAGCATGGAGACGGCAGTGGCGGCGAGGACGGCGGGGACGTGTGGAGCGGATCGGGTCAACTCCTCGGGGCTAGAGGAGCAGAAGCAGTGGCAGCACAGGCGTTGCGAGGCCGGAGGCTGCGCTGACAAGCCTCCTGGTTCGGGGAAAGTGCGCTGCGGTTCCCGACGACGAAATGCGCTCCTCGGCGCCCCAATGGCGTCCCCCCCCCCGCGCTGCCCGGGCGCTCGCGGATAATTGGACACTGGCTGCCGCGGCTCTGCCTGTCATGCTGGTTCAGTAAAACATGCATGCAACGCAAGCAATGGTTAAAGGAGAAATAGTCCCAAAAGAGAAACATGGATTGCTTCCTTACCTGCTAAGTATTTCTATTTCTAAAAATATCTCAAACCTTAAACGATTGTACATTAGGTAGTAAACGAACATAAGGCTGCATTTATCAATGATTAAAGAGCAATTTCTTCTGCAGACAAATCTGTGCAGCATTATTCGCATCTGTATCCTTATCCATTGGCTGGTACATTGATGCAGCTGCAAATTAGTGTGCTGTATTGTGCAGCACATATTATTCGTTCCCGTTAAATAAAATAATATTTTAGAACAGATAGTACTAATTGCACTATTTAATATGACGTAAAGTTCATATCGGGGTATTTTTTTCGAAAATTACACAGGCACATAATTTTCCAGAAATTTTCAAAACACTATTGTATTTGTAAGTTAAAGTGCTTCAAATGTATTCTATTGGTTTTTCGAAAACTCAAACATTTTTTGGTAAAAGAGCTTCAAATTTTGAATTTGAAATAACGCTTGAGAGCCATTCCTTTTAAACCGACTCTAAATTTTTCAAAGAAATTTGGCGTTTAGGACGATTTTTTACTATTCTTTAATGTTCTTAAATAATATTTCCGTTCTACTATTAAGAGAGAAAAAATGAAGAAATTTTTTTAAAAATGTGTGCTTTGAGTGGCAATAGATGGCAGCTTGGAAGATAAGTAGCAAGTTCGAATACCTAGCTGAGACCAAAAGAAATAGTAAAATAATACGGGATAGCCTGTGCCATTCTGGAGCACCACTAGTTATTTGTAGGACCAAATTACAATTGTCCTTCGTGATTATAATATTTAAGCCTCCGACTTATTATAAAGATTTGTTTTCCTCGTACTTTGTCTTGCCTTCTTTTGAATCTTGTCTTTCGCCTCCTGTGCACACTTCTTTTTGTTCGCTCATCGCCATCGAGGAATATGTCATGGGCTCCTCATTCCTGCCATCAGTGCGACTGGTTTTGCGACGATCAACAGCTCTGTGAAGCTCCGAGTTTTTATGAAAGTGCAATTTCATTTTCCTATATATTCTTCGAAGTACTTCATTTATTGTTTCAGCTCTGTTAAGGTTTAGCGAACTAATGGGTGTTTCATTGTTATTTTAAGACACCACAAACAATGATTCGAAAATCTCCGTCGCAAAAATAAAAGAGAAAGAAACAATACCTGAATCACACAAAGAATTTCTTAAGCACTGTGAATTACGTTCTTCAGTACATAAGTCACTGCTGTATATCTACTTGCCATTTGCCATGCCTTTTTGATAAATTTTGATCTGTTTTGAAGTGTTTTAAAATACATAATGTTTATGATTTTTACCATCTGAAATATTATTTCTATGCTTCTGCTCTGTAATAATAATTTCTGAAATAGCAATAGCTATCAGAAGGTTAAACTCACTCACAACAATACATATCTTATGCACTACACGTATTTATTGTTGTCTTATTTTCATTTTATGATGAGTGAAGGAAATTTATGTCTTTTTACGAGGAAACATGTCATAAAAAAGTCATATTAAAACTACGCTCCAGTTCCTTAAACAGTAATATTTCTAGCAACGAGTCACAAAGCAGTACTCAGCGCGAAGAGGTCGCACACTCTCTGCGTCCTGGCCAATCGTAAACGCATTCACGCCAAAGCCGTCGTCTCCTCGCGCCGGGATCCACGCTCGTGAAATAACATCAACTCTCCGTTAACCACAATGCTCGTAAAGGGCCGCGCCATTTTCTGTCCGAAATTGATCCCGCTAAACCCTTGCGGAGAAGAAGGCGACGCCGCGACGCGAGGGGGCAGGAGGGGGAGGGAGAGGCAGTGAAGTGACAGGCGACGAGACACAATGCCTCCTTTGTGCAGTCGACAATGTGAGGAGCTGCCGAAAGCCCGGCCTCCGTGCGGGATAGCGCTGCTAAGTAGGGGCATTTATCGGCAGAGAATCCTCCGGCGCAGACGAGGGCGAGTGACGCGGCAACTCCGCACTTTGCGAGGTGGCGGGCGCTACCTCCCATCCTTTATGTCCCTCTTCAAAAGAAGAGTTTTCATTTCTCCTCCGCCGATCCGCCCCCGCCCCCGCGACGCGTCCATTCGACGGCCCCCCTCCAGAGCCCAAATGGCCCCAACGGCATTTGCGAGCTGAAAACGAAATATGTCACACAGGCTGGAAAGTAAGCACTACTTTCTGCACAATTCTCCTCCTACTCGTATGATAAATATGATTGGCAGATTCTTTTTCAATGCGAAGTTGTTTAACACTGCGTGCTTAGCTGGATCTCCACTACTTCACATTTGACTTGAACGGTTGCTATAGCTCAGGACAACACCGTTGTCCCTGCAATGTCTCTGAGCGAGAGGGCCTCGAGTTCGAGTCCTGACCGTGCTGGATTTACGACTTTAGCTAGCTAGGTAAACATATAATTCATCCGCTTTCTACAGGAGAATTCAAGCGGCCGGTTACTCTGATCGGTGGTTTGTCGTGATTTCTCTGAGCAATACCAGACGAATGTCGGAGCAGTACATTAACAAACGGGCCACGGATCGCGCGTGATCTTTCCTTCCTCGCGCGCGAAATATTTCCTTCCTCATGGATGCGACCTTACTCCTCATCCATTCCACATTATTTACTCACAGTTACACTTGAAAGACAATGCTCACAAATGTCAGAGCTCAGAGTTAGGTCCTTGTTGGGGAGATGCCCCGCAGGCGGAAATACCTGTAATGGGAAACCCTGCCCGACGTATGGATCGCCGCCGAATATCACTTTCCAGCTGGGAACACCCGCACGACCTGGGATATAAAGCGCAGGACTAATGGCTATAGAACTTACAAGATTGATGTCTATTGCACTTGACGCAGCAGAAACAAAATAAGAAAGAGCAATTCTAATCAGATGCACTGTCTTAAGTTATTTTGTAATTAATGTAAGTATGCTACTGGCAACCCTTCTTTTCTGGTTGCGTGGGCTTCCGCTGCCGGAGTTTGTATTATCTAGGCTATCCGGGATAGCTTAGGCTAGCCTAGATAAAATCCTTCTTTTCTGTTCCTACCACATAAACCACTCTAACATGCAAAGTTACTTTTAAATTAAAGTTTACTTTGCCAAATGAAAATCACTTAAACCATAACACAAAATTAACTATTAAACACAGAATCCTCATAAATGTATCGAACGTTTTAAAATTACTACCTAACTCAAAAGATGAGATACGAGTACATTTGTAAGCGTCGTCTTCTGCGGTCGGAGTCAGTATCTCAATAGTTAACACTTGGCTGCCCGGAAAACGTCCGCTGCGCAGATGCCAACGTTTCGGCCGTCATACTGCGACCTTCCTCAGGGCAAAATCAAGGAATTAAACGAAGTAGATCATCAGATACATCCCTGCCAACATCAAATCTGCAAGTCTTTCGTCATATTTGTTGACTTGCTCGCGCCTACGTTTTGCACCGTAAACATACGAATTTCCTCGATTAGTTTTCATTGAATCAATAAAATTACTGCTATCAGTCACATTCGTAGATAATTGTCGCACATGATCCTGAAACTTTTCTACACTGTATATATTTTGCTATTTCAAAGGAAATAACTTGCATTTTAGTGATTAAGTCTCAAGTTAACAGAAAAATGTAAGGGGATATTAATATTAATAATCACACGTTGACCCTAATAGTCATCCGTTCAGTCTAATATCCAATGTGATAACTCCTAGTGCTAGTGCCGTTCGGGTGAGAGGTGTGAACAGTGCCAAGTTTCGAAAAGCGTAATATTTTAATTAGAGCGAGGTTAACTAATCATATTACAATAGTTAATGGCCACGGGTAGTTGCTCCACTACGAGGCAACTGATTCGAAGCGCAATGGTCGCCACTTACGACGAAAATGGGAGTGAATCTTTCAAAGGCGAACGAGTGCAAAACAACCCAGTTCCTGCAACATATGAAGACTTATCGCAAGTGCAAAGACTTAAATGTGCATCATGATAATTCTGCAATTCAAGGTGAGTGCAGTGGCAGGAAAAGGAAGCGAGGGTTATCAACGTATGCAAATGAACAAGGAACTAAGATATAACGTACCAACAGGAAACAGTTTTGTATCTTGACCAGAGGCAATTGAAGATGGAGAAAACGAAAATTCAGACTTTAATGAAAGTGAAAACTTCAGTTCAGGCAATATTAAAATCCCACCAATAAGTGTCTCTATAACCACATAAAGTATTCACAATTTTTCTGCATTTCTGGTGGAAGGTAAAACCATAGTCGCTAATTATTTTTCAATCAAAATTACTGAAAACCACATATCAATATTATTTACTTCAATTGAAGATTTTCGAAAATTTCATCGTTTCAACAACCGAAATGGTAACCTCCGAAATGATCATGTTACTTGTACAATGCAAAAAAAGGTTTTTCCATATGTATAAACTCTATGGAAAAAAATATATATGAAAACACTTGAAAGACTGAATAAGTCGAACAAGGATTAATACATTTATTTTCAAAATTTCAAAACTCCAACATCCATTCTCATGTGAGTCACCCCTTCGATTAAGAAAAAGCACACGGATGCCTCTTATATAAAATAAATTATAATTTGTTGCGATATTCCTGGACTTTTCATTTTTCTTTTGAGACGCTCTGATTTAGTTTCAAAATTCGCAATTTTTTTCAAATATTTGACATGGGAGTTCTACGTCAAAAGTCTTGAAGGTATGCAGTGTGCATTGTTACGTTGTGGACTCAAAATTAATTATTTTTTCTCAATATATTCATTCCGATATACTTCTTTCACCTTGCGTCAATATATTTTGGGATTTGATAAATGTTATGAATTATTATTTTCATTGATAGGGTATTACATGTATTATTTTCATTGTTAGGGTATTATTTTCTCATTAATTTGCATATTACTTTTTGTGAAGCAAGTTTTATTTAGAAAAGAATCGCCAGTAATTAACATTTACATCTCCATGAACTTAACACAAATATGGTTCAACGCCTTTTTTTCCTGTTCTTGTTGAATTTCGAACACCGAGATGCTATGTTAATTAACAAAATATTCCATCAACTCTGTTCTCAAACTTAAACGAAGTTTATCCTTCCACCCATTTACTCCGTTTTTGGAGAGTGGGAGTACAAGGGGCCGAAACTGGATCCCAGGGTCTCGTGAATCAACATACTGAGTGACGGATGCGGGTCAATGAAGTAATGCTTCATTTGATCCTGATCATCGTCCATAAATGATGGTAGCAGGGGGAAAGAGATAACTGGTGATGCTTCAATAAAATATACTTCTTCACATTATTTCTTATTTTTCAATTTTCGAAAATTCAGAGAGTTCAAAAACGAGAATAGTGTCATTGTATTAAGCGTTCCTTATTCTTTTCGTAGAACAAATTTAAAGAGAAAAGTTAAGCGGTTTTTGGCAAAACGTTTTTTCATAAATTGCATTAATTTTAAGCCCAAATTACGCGGAAATTACTCGTAAATAATTATACATTATCGTTTTTAAAGATATGATTTTTTGAAGAGTTCAACAAAAAAAATGTATAACTTCAATTTTGTACTTTTCAAATGTTAAATGTTTGCAATTTTTTGGAAATAGAGAAAGTTCGCTGTAAATGAGACTAACACCACTTTTTTACTCTTCTTTAATACATATACGGTGAAAACTTAATAAGTTGTAACTTTCTTTAAGAAAATATTTTTTAGAAAAAAATTAAGATATTAAGGGTTTATGTAAACTAACCTAAAAGTCAAAATATCAGTTTCAAACTCAGAGAACCATGCCTTAATTTAAATCAATCTGGAAATATTAATTTTGGAGTAACATGGGTTGATCGCTTTTGGCCCTAGCTTTGACCGCAAAGAGACGTTTTGCTGTCAATTGATTTTTCGGTATCAAGATCCCATGAACGTGAATTCTTATTACAGCCCGAACAATTTTTTTTGTTCTATTCTTTTCGTAGTCTTTTCTTTTACATTACCATAAACTATTTTATAGTCATTTACCATTTCCAGAATACCACTAATTTCTGGTGGGATTGTCATCTTTCGTAACGAATCCTCCTCTTGCGCTTCATTAAAATATACCTTTGCCCGCGTACGCTTAGTGCTTTACAGAAAAAGCGGACCTTTACAGAAAACGCAGTTCAATATAGGCACACTTCGAGCATGTGTGTTGCGACAGAGGTACATGTACCCTGAAAATGCCTCTTTCATCATCCGCTCACTTGGGTATGTTCAGAGAATTTCTAACAATTGTAAAGCTGACCTCAACATTTTCTTTTTCTTTCGCATTTCCATCGTTCACTCGTAAACTACGAGCCATGATCGATAGAGGTTTGCCAGGTTTACCAACTTTTTGGAAAATTTGAGTGCTTATATGACACAACTCCGCGTATTTGCTTTTTGAATCGGATACTTTTGTACCGTCTTGTAGAAAACGTCAATAATAACGATCATATCTTTGTTCCCAAAGCGAGAATTTGGAATTGGCCCACACAAATTCGCAGCATATAACTGACGAGGAGAAGTAGGCAATATGGACCCTACCATAACTTCAGGTTTCCGAATGGGTTATTTAGTCCGTTGGCATACGTCTCATTCACCAATTTTTCTTCTAATTTGTCGCTCTATATTTTTCCAATAACATTTTGATTCTAGGATGATCTGAATTTTGTAACTGCCGAAATAACGTTCCTGCGTAGTTTGTATTAATAAATCTCGATTTTTCTCGAAAATCTAAATCTCATATTACAATCCTTTCTTTCCAGTGGATGCAAAAAGGTTCAATCCTACATCTTGCATTCTGGCCATAGAGTCTGCGTAGGGGTACGTTCCTACTACCTGCAGTTGGTTCCATCAAAATTTATTTATATGACTTCTTTTTGTCAATGGATCATCATCTTGAACCTTAATCAATTCTTCCTACGTCCACCACGGTCGTATCATCACATGTTGTAGTACAGCAACATACTCTATTTCTTCCGGGGCTTCTTCTTGAATTTCTATTCTTGATAAATGATCCGGTAAAACTTTATCATGGTCTTCGCAATACTGGATGTGGAAGTCAAACTGTTTGAGCCACAGAGACCCTTGCAGGTACCTGTCATTGTTCATATGATTTTGCATTAGAAATATTAATGCCTTATTGTCAGTTACCTGTGTAAATGGCTGGTCTATTAACATTAACTTTTGGATAGCTGAAACAAGCGCAGTGAAGTCTAGTCCTGTAAATATTGTAGCTCCTTCTAATTATTTTATCATTCGGTGGTGCTTCATGACAAGGAACCGTTACGGTATTTAATTTCCGAGCATCAAAAAAGTCTAATTTGTTATTCTTCTTTCGGACGACTACAACTGTATTTTTATAAGAAGTCATCGCTTTCTTAATGATTCCATCTTGTAGCATTTTCTGTCTGTTTCCTAACTTCGGGCTTAAACACGTGAGGCACCGGATATTGTCGGCAGTTAAATGGTAAATTATAACTTGAACAAACATCCTTTCAAAGGTTAATTTGAGTTTTCGAATACAGAATAAACCTGGCTAATCCGATTCTCGCTAATCCAAAATTTCGGATAATCCGAACAAAATTCGGGATGGAGCAAAAATAAAAGAAATACAATGCTTATTTGTAGTGTAAAGAAAGGATTTTATAATTACTGTAGATCTGAACAACTAATTATTGACACAAAAGTAGAATAAATCAATCACGTATTGCGCTGGTAACTACGATGAATATGACAAGTTTATGTAGCACTAATCTTCACTTCAAAAAACCTGCAAAAGCGATAATTTTCTTTCGCCATCATCACATGATGCGATCGCTACGTTACGTTGCCATTGTCTCACGTCGCACGCCACATTGCATGTTATTTCATGGCCTACAGACGTATTTGTATGTGTACTGTACATTTTTTGGATAATCCGAACATATCCGAATCCGAACAGACACACCGTTCATTAGTTTGGACTACCGAGGTTCTACTGTGCTTCCAGGAATTCTAAAGCAATTTTTTTACAAGTACCCGTACCAAACTCTTCCCGTTTTCGTCGATAGCATCTTTTGTAGCGGCGCAAAGCTAGTTTCGGAATTCGATTGATTGTTCCGTAATATTGCATATACGAAACGTTTCCTAATTTTGGTCTCCGACACCTGGACTTGCCCTGTGTCATTTCGAAATATTTTCTTCATATTACCCGTATCGACGAAGGTGTTATACATTCTTAGGTCGTCCATACCAATGATTATTGACCGAATTAACCCCTTCATAACGACTGGAAACCTTATCGTCGGTCCTTGCACATCGAGTTCGACCAACACTGGTCTACTGTTGATCTCTACTCCCCTACCGTTAGCTACACTACTCCCCAATTTCCTTGTCGATAATTCTTCAATTCTAGCGTTTTTGTATAACACACTCAAATAACTCAATTTTAAAATTAAACATTTGCTCTTCTCCCCTTTATTGTCAATTACTTCTGTTAAATACATCATCAGAAACAATTATGCTGACTATGGCCGTAACTATTATCTCTTCCCTGTTCACCATGTTTGAGTCATCCACCTTCATACCTCAAACTCTATCAGTTTTTCTGAACAACGGCTTGACTACCACATGTTCCTTAAACTTTTCCTCTTTGTTCTTTGCGAGTAGTTTCCTTCTCCCTCCGCGCTTCGTGTGATCTCTTTGTCTCATTTCCTATCCGGGTATAGCTTCTTATTTTCCCCATTGATGCACGGTTTCTGTCGCACACCATTTTCGACTTCTCATCGTTTCCTATCCGATTGGATCTATTCCTAATGTTTGGTCGTATCTGCTAAGCCATTCTATAAGACGTATCGATGTATTTGGCATCGAGTTTCATAAGATATTTTGAATAATAGCCGAATTCTTAGTAGTTTCCTTAACGTCCGCATTATCTTCGTACGTCTTGAATGCTGCGAAGTCACACATTCATTTGATTCTGCCCTTTTCACGAGTTATCCCATTAATCTGTACTTTAATTCAGCTTATGATTTTCATTTCAATAACGTTTAAAGAATGTTTTCTTCCATTCACCGTAGCTATTATGGTTTGGAACTAAAGACGTAGGCCAGTGATGTGTTTTCGATGTCATTGCTTGTTCAGTTAAATTCAATTTTAATCTATCTATGACATAAAAATAACTCTCAATCTATGACAGTAACGTCAAAGATTCTTCTTTCCCTTCGTCATAGAATTTGAAGTAGCTTAGTAAATTGCGTGCAGCCGCTGTTATATTTACGTCTTTGCTGGTTCGTGCAAAATTAATTTATTTTTAATGTTTTCTATTTTATTTTTTAATTCTAAATTTTTTTGTATGTCTTAGATAATTTCCAGATTTTTTATTAAATTAATTTCCTCTTAAACCTTCCGTTCAACTAATACTTCTGTGCTATCAACTTTTGCTTCTGCATCACTTAAACGTTTATTTTGTTTTCACGTCGCGTATCTGCTCAACATTTGTTTCCATGTGTCATGCGTTTACATTGTTTGAAGAAATAAAACATGTCATCTCCGTCAAGCTAATATCGTAATGTAACATTTAAGTTCACGGAGATGACTTACATTATTTCTTCGTGTAATTACGTTAACAATACCGCATCATAATTCACACAGTTTACATTGTCGTCGGCCCGCTTAATTTAATGCATTCATCGCTTTGACCATATTTACATCTGTATGTTACCTGTATGTTCCTCCTGTTCTTTTCAGCACAATAAATGTGTCAATTTTAATATACATGTCTGTGACGTAATTTCGTATCAATCGGAATATTGCTATTACCTCACCCATTTCGGCCACAGTTCCTAGCAATTCACGTTAAAAATTGTGATATTGATGTGATAATTTGTCATTTTTATCGTTCAATTGCTCAAATTCCTTATCAAAATCATTACGCAATTCTAAATTATTGCCTTTCAACTTGACATACAACACTGAATTGTTGTTTTCTATCTTGGATTATATTTCTATATTCTAAACTTTATTTGCGAGAGGAAGGAATACCTCGCGAGCGACGATGGGATGTTTTATGTTTTTAAAGCTTCCACAATTTAATAATAAATTATAAATTCTCTTCTCTTTGAATTCGCAGTTAAATTTAGAAAAGTCAGAAAATGGGAACTGTAGAAATGGAATGGCACTCCCGAAAGGGAATGTAACCATTGCCCAACCACAAGGACCAGAAAGCGGGCGGCAGGGCTGGGGTGGCCGGGCCGCGGAGCGCGTGCGAGTGAGCGGCGTGGCGTGTTGCAGAGGTGGAGGACGAGGACGACGAGTGCGCGCCGCCACCGCGCCACCGCCCCGACCGCCTCGACGCCATCAGCCGCGCCACCAAGTTCTCCCGCGAGGAGATCCGCTGCGTGTACCGGGCCTTCAAGCAGGAGTGCCCCTCGGGCGCCATCACGGAGGCCACCTTCAAGAACATCTACCAGAAGTTCTTCCCGCTCGGAGGTGAGGCTCAGGCAGCCGCAGCATGGCCCACGTGCATTACAAGCTCTTCTCTATTCATTTAAACATTTCACTAATGCTATATCCATTTATACATGCCCTCTTTACTCATTCTGTTTACTTTCTCCTGATATAAGCTGCATCATTTTCATTTCATTTTATTTATAACTGAAGAATTTTATTATTATTTATTACTCACAATCATCTAGGAGACAAGATAAGATGTGATGTCTCTGTGTAATGTATTCCCACCCTCCCCACGCACTGGGGTGACACGTCCCCTTCTTGCGCCGTTCACCCACGCACATCATGTTGCTCTCCTCGCCACGCTTGGCTCGCCGCGCTTCGTCACGCTTGCCGGTGCATTACCAGCGTTGCTATCCCACAAATCTATCGTTGTATGCTATCGACGAACGTCTAGAAATATTTCTGACTAATTCAATTCTGACCCATTTAATTTTTAAAAAAAAATATTTACTATCTTTCCATTGCGAAACAGTTTTTCAAGGTGATTTATGAATAGTAATTGTGTGAAATGTGTGCTGTATGTTTCATATTTATTGGAAAATAGTGAAGTAGACGTGTCACGTTTTGGAAGTTCGCTCCTCATTTGAGGAGGTGTTAATCAAATCCACACATTCCACCTTAAACGTTTGGTGGGAACACGGAAAAAGTGTTTCTTAATAACTTGAATTATTGAAATTTCGTTTTTAATATTAATATGGGTCTATTTAAAAACATTAACCTATTTAATATGATGATTTCAAATTTAATAAGGTAAACAAAGTAGTAATTACGACTTTAAAAGAGGTCATGGTCTTATTTGATTGGATTTAATGGACATATCATCTTTTTATTAAACGTGCAATGAACATGTTTTCTTTTGTTTCATTCAAAGAAAATAGAACAATCTTTAGCACTTCTGTATTGTTAAAAGAATACAATAAAAATGGCTTTCAAACCATAAGAAACAATTTTAAATATACAGTCCAACATCAAGTTCCAAACAGTCTCATTCATTACATCTCCCTTCTTCATCATCATCATCTTTGTCTCATACGCACCTTCCTGCAACGATTTCATATCCTTCTTCTTTCCTGCTTTTGCTGCGTATCTAAGTGGCAGTATTACTACAGGAATTCAGAAAGATTTTACAGATGGCCAGCCCTTTTTCTGAAGACTTTTGTATGTTTCAAAGTCTCTTTCAAATCTGAAATGATGTGTTGATTTCACTTTTACAAACGTCTTTTCATTATTGCAATTGTTGGTGCTTTTCTCTTGTTAAATGTAATTTCGCTTTTTCCCAGAAATCATCTCAATGTTTTTTTAAAGCGTTGGGATAAACTTTTAGCATCAATCAGTGACTAATTTTCACATACCTTACGTACTTCACCAACAGTCTCATTTGTATGATATTGTATCATATGGTTTGTACCATAGTACTCTTCATTCTTTGCTATGGTAGGGCGTTTTCTAAGCAACGTCTCCACTTAACGAAAAACTCTATCAGCTGTAAGGAAACTATGTCCTCGAACGAGATAGGAAATCTCTTCAACGTGGACATGTTCTTGTTTGCTTTGAAACTCTGTATTTCAGCTATGCATTTTCACGTGACATAATTTGCCAGAAATGAACCTAACAATACTGCAGGAACCAGGATGCTCGAGAATTGGTACACTAGTTGTGCATCCAGCGTGTCCACTAAAAAGGCAGTTATATTGAAATCACCAGCAGACTCTCCAAATTTGTTTGCAGTTGACTCTGGATAGATCCTCCGAATACAAACCTCTGGGGAAGAACATTTTCGGTTCTCTATATCAGAAATTATATCATATATCTGACTACATTAGACTATATCATCATATAGACCATATCATCTATTTCAGATACCCTATATGCAAAATAAAATAATTATACATTACGATTGATTTAGTTATTTCAGAGACTCTGTAAAATATCCAAACACCACGAATTCAGAATCTCAATAGACTTAATTTAGACTTAAATCGACATACTTCGTGTGAAGCAAATTGGAGAGTTCACTATAACCGAATCACCTACTATTTATTTGCATTGTATGTGAGTCAGGACCAGTAACTTTGGTTCACTATAGCCGAAGTTTCACTACATCAATTGTACATAGATGTAAGGAAATAATTATGTATTAATTCAATATTTATATTGAATATTTTTATTGAATTAATATTACCAACCACAGTAGTGACGAGCTTTTAGCATCTCTTTACGGTTCAAACGTATAGATGTTGGGTAGGTCGTGATTTAATCATTAATTAATGCCTGAAATTTATTAGATTTCAATTACCATTAATGAGTTTGGGCGCCTGATGGAATCAAATTCGAAGGCCGTCTGCTCTAATCAGTGCTTTCCCTGATCTCGTCCCAGGTGAATGCTGGAGCAATTTCCAATTCATCTTTTTTTACTGATGTCCTTGTTATCCCCTCGGGCATCGTCTCCCCGAATCCTAAGGCGCTGTGAGGGAGTGAGTCTTCCCCTACCACAGACCGTCGTAAGAGACCAGATTATTATGGATGTAATGCATATTTTTGTCTTTCTACTTACCGTTCTCAAATTTGTAATCTTGGTGAATAGTCGCTGCCCTAACACAATACCAAATTTTTTGTTACATATTTTTATGTATTTGGTACTATATTACATATTTTGTTATTTTCACAAAACATTGTTTATTCTATCAATTTTATTGAATTTTATTACATATATTTTATAAAAAGAAGTTGTTTTTTTAATTAACCATTTTTTCCTACATTATTTCTGCGTGTTGTCTACTCCAGTACCCCATGTGAAGACGCGGGATGTTCTCACAGTCCACCGCGCCCGCTTCAGTTCTCTCAGTGGAAGCTCGTGGTCGTCGACTGAGACCATTGTCACCGTTAGTTGTGGAAAGTAACACTGACGAGTGCCTCGTGCAGCAGTGATTGTTTGCTGGTCGTAGATATCGCCAGTTAGTACGAGGTATTCTATTGCGACTAGTCCGTCTACAAAACTATGGTCCTGGATAGGAGTAGATGAAGCTTTTACTACAGACGGGAAAGTTGTATGGTATTGTGTGCATCAACTTCTGCTCTCCAAAGTATTATTAAAACGTTTGTATTATTTATGAAAATTGTTTAGGAATATTTTTGTAAATGTAATTTTGTATTATATAAATGTGATTTACAATGAGTGAGTGTATCCGATTTTACACATTTATTACATATTATTACCGTTTTCAGTATATATTTATGTACATATTTTGTCGTTTTATACTACATATATATTCCGATCTCTAGTCATAACTCACAACTGACACATGCCGGTGGGAGGCGTAAGCGACTTGCAACAAGTCAACACTAGCGCTACGCAAAAGGGAACGGAAGAATAAAGATTTAATTTATTGTTTCAAATCTAAAAACCTTTTTAATCGTCATTTTGAAATCAGAAGTAAAATAAATTCGCGCTGCGCAGTTCACAAAACAATTGCTTGTTAAACTAGTGGTGCTAAAACAGAACGTACCTTCATGATAATTAAACGAAAAGTACTCTTTTTCGAAAAATTGTACATGACCACATTCAAAATCTATCTTTAATGCACAGATTTTATTAAGGGAAAATCTCTAGCTTTAATATTTTAATTGTAAAAAATGCTGAAATATGTTTGAATTTTTGAAATTTTCGAAAAATCAGGGATTTCAACAAACATGAGCTCTGCACCACCCCTCTTAAACGTCCTTTACACCATTCAACAACAAAATTTAATCAAAAACGTTGGATCCATTATTTTTAATTCTGGAAAGTGCCCCAGGGGTTCATTTAATGTACCCCCCAAATTTAAAACATCTGTTTCAAACTCAAGGAACTACGACATCAGCCGGAATATCAATTTTGGCGAAATTCGGCTGAGTGGTTTGGCCACTAGCGTTGTTCACAAACGGACGGACAGGCGAATGGGCGTTTTGTCGTCATTTTTTTCAGTATCGAGGAGCCCCGAAATATGGATTCTGGCTCTACCATTTGTTAGCGTTTTTTCTAAATTTAATAACTGGATTTATCCATTTTTTTGATACCAATAATCAGAGTTTTCTGCCAAAAATTCAAAGATTTTGGCGCAACGTTACATAACTTTACCCCGCAGCGAGAAAGTAAAAACATTTACTGGATATTATTATTCCTCTGGTTTAAACACTGGTTTTCAAATCATTCTCAGCGCAACAGCAGGGTTCCTTAGGAGCAAAGTGAGAGTCTCGAAAAGAAAACATCTTAATGGTGAATTTTGTCCAATGAAATTTGATGTTATACGGAAAAATAATGGTTTGTGGTTGTTTTCAACATTTTCATACAACAAAACAAACTTCAAACAAACTCAAAATTATATTTTACATTTTTTATCCGTATAAATTAACTTTTTTGAGGTTGGCCAATTTTTTGACCTTCTCTGGTCTCTGAAGCTTTGAATGAGAAGTCTAGACACGTAAAACGATTTTATGAATTTCGAACGTAAAGAATCAATGTAATGTTACATGTTATACATGTACACAAATGTGTTCAGTTTACACATTTATCGCACAATTTTCGGGAAAAAGGACTACGATTTTGCGTCATAAAGGACTAAAAATTGATCCTCTATTATTTTGTTCTTCCTGGCACCAACAGTCGATCTGAAGACCACTACTCTTGCATCATAATGCCTGGTAATATGAGTGTAATGATGTAACATAAATGAAAAAGTTTAATCTCTTACTTTCCGCCGAAGCTGTTCATATATAAAGACTACATGAAGCAGAGTGAAATAAATTTTATCTGTGGTCGACCACTCTCCCCACCAACTGCACTGCGCTTTGACCTTGTCTCACCGCTCCTGCCAAAGTAATGGAAGCTACAGATGAACTGCTTAGGAAGAAAACAAACATCTATTACACAACAAATGGAATAAATGTTTTAGTGTAAAATGGAAGTAATTGTATATACATCCCTAACATGTCAGCCA